ACATCAGGTCATGATGTGGTGGCTAGAGGATTTGGCAGGTGAAGGTTTCGGGGAGTTGGGGTGTTTGATAGGAAGGGGGGTGAGGAAAGGAGCTTGAGGGGTGAGATCCTGGTCTGGGGAGACACTGGGAAGAAGTTCTCATCTAAATAATAGCAAACAAAGACAAATATATATATATATTTGAGAAACTGAGAGAGAAACGGAGAGAGAAACAGAGAGAGGAGATACACAAAACACGTTCACACATATATTTATACATACTACCCAAATGCAAGGAGGGCTTCTTAGATCAATAGTCAAGGATTACCTTTTAAAAAATACAATAAAACAGATCGAATTGCCAAAAGTGTGAGACTTTCTAAGCAGGAGCAGGCCAGGAAGAGCTTTCACTGGCATCTAGTGGTACATTGCAGAGGCAGAGTCACTGCAGCTGATGGCACAGCTTCACTTCCAAAGTGGGTTTCCCTGGTATAGCGAAGACTCTGTTCAGACTGGGAGGTCACCACTTCCAAACTGGGCTTAGGAAGAGGCAATTCTGGACATAGCCTAACCCTGCCCTGACAACTTTGTCTATGAAGCCCTTTTGGGGATGAGCATGAGGCGCTCTGAGTCTATTTACGACTGCATGAGTAAAACCTTGGGGTCATACCAAAGCATATTTAATCTCTTCTTTTCTTGGACTTTGGGGCTTTGTTTGAGCCTGAGGGGACAGCAGGCAGAGCTGGTCTGTTTGAAGGAGAGCGTGAGCTGTGGGGGAACTCACCTGGGAAAATGCCAATGTCAATGGAGAGAAACGGGAGCTCTGAGGGCACAAGTCATCTGCCCTACTAGAGGCATCCACTTTAGAATAAGGTATATAGTGCCCCAGTGGACGAATGGACACTGACACAGCTGAAGCAGCACGATCCTGGCCCCTTCCTCCAGATCCCTCTGGCAGCAAAGGAGTCACACAAATGATCCCCTCAGCTGCTCCAGGTCAGCGCCTCATCCATGTCCTGTCTCAACCTCTCTCCCTCCATGGTGCCACACACCAAGATGGGGCCACTTGATGGAGCTGCTGACTGGCACCATCCAAAGTGTTGGTAGGCAGGACTTGTGGGAAGGTATTATGGAAATAGGAAGGATGGAAAAGGGAGAGCATGTTGCCTAAGGAGTCCTGCACGTGAGGAATCTCATCTCAGCATATGTGGGATCTACTGTGGCCTAACACCACGGTCTCTCCTGTCTGTCCAGGGCCTGCTGTGGCACTTTCATGCATCAAAGCAGAAGACCTTCAGTGAGGCAAGCTGAATGAAGCTTGTGTATCTTCTGCTGTGTATGTACTGGTATAAAGATGGTTAGATTTGTATGACTTCTTCCTTCACTGGACTGGGATACAAGCTGAAATGTAGGTGCATCTTCATACTGGTGCTGCTGCCTCATACTGCTGGTTTGTATTGGGGTAGGAAATACATCAGCAGACTTTATCCAAGGCACATACAGTGTGTAGACTAGATCTGAACTCCAGGGACCCCGGCACCTTGAACTTCCTTGTGTGATCTGAGCCAGGCACCTCACCATCTCCTGCCTCAGTTTCCCTGAATCAAAGAGGAGGAGAATAGCATGTTTGCAGCCTGTGTCATATTTAGGACAGGATTGGAGGTGCTGGCTTATGCAGGAATGAGTGTTACTGTCCGACCTCAGAGACATGGGACAGCCCCTAATCGCTGCCCCAGGGAAGGATCATGCTGAAGCACCTTTTCATCATGCTCC